TTGCATATGAAAACAAATATATCTAAGCTTAGATGATATGTAAACAAATATATCTAAGCTTAGATAATATGTAATAAAAAACTGAATTAGTAAGTTAAAATCATATCCTTAGTATACAAAAAGGAAAATCTAGAGAAAATGAGGTAAGTCCAGCTACACAAATCTTTATCTCTTACATTTTTAATTTTTCTTTATCAGCCCTTCTTTAAGTGAGGCATGTGTTCATGGGTTTTAAGTTTGTGAAACTAAAATATTTTAACCACAATCAAGTTAAACTCCTTTCTCTTTCCACTGTAATTTTTTTCCAGTTAAGTGACATTGTAGTGAATAGGCATTTCAGGAATCTAGACAAGGGGAAATTAAGATGGGGGTACATCTAGAATTTAGTAGACTTATGTACGTGATTCACAATCACTACCATGTCTAGGTTATTGAAAGCCTTTTAGGTATAGGAATGGCTCCTAGGAAAACTCCCACCACCCTGATGCAACTCAGCATTAATCTGACATGGAAGTGCAGGGCTGAAGATCATATTACAAATTATATACTATGTCAATATTAGAAATATATAGATAATGTAGAAGAAATAAGATTTGAAATTTGAAATGTCTGGATCCAAGAGCTAGTCTGTAGAAAATTCTTCCAAATCTTACAGCTCCCAAGAAACTTGATACACGTTTTCCAAAATTTTGGCAACAAACATGAAGTTCATATGATATCCACCAATGATAGATGATTGACAGGTAGCAAAGAGAAAAGGGAAGTGAGGAAATAAGACTGGTTGGACCAGAGAGCTGGTGCTGGGAAGTAGCAGGAAATCAGATTAGAAAGGTAGAACAAAGCTGAGCTTATAGAGATCACTGACTTCCAAGATTTTCAAGAAATTGCTTCTATGGGTAAGTGAAAGGTATCAGAGAATATGGTGTATAGAAATTAGGTGATGAAGACAATATTGTAATAAGACCAGTACAGAGGCAGTAAGTAAAGGGATCAGAAAAGAAACGGAAGTGATGGAAGTCATCTAGGTAGTATCATGGCACTATTAACAGAAATGGGGAGAAGAGCAAGAAGAAATAGTTCGGGGGTAAAGAGAATGAATTTATTATGGAAAATCTTTAGTTTAATCATGAGTTTAAATCTCTAGTTTGATTATGAAGCATGAAAATAATTTTTTTTTACAAAGCAGTGATAGGCACTTCATGTAGCAGGATTGGTAATTACAGAATAATTTGTAGCTGGTAGCACAAAGCGTTACATGGAAATGAAATAGGATTTAAAGTGAGTCTCAAAAAATTAGAGGGGTAGGAAACTTTTGGAGGTTATAAATAAGTTTATGGCATAGATTTTGGTCATGGTTTCATGGATGTATACTTGTCTCCAAACTCATCAAGGTGTTTACGTTAAATATGTACAGCTTTTTATATGTCAATCATACTTCAATAAAGTGGCTTTAAAATTAGAATCTCAGCAAATTTCTCAAAGAATTACTGTTGGAGAGTAAAATTTCTAGGGGCAGAAGTGTGGAGGGGGAGATGCGACAGAGAAGGGGGAATGTTTGCTGGTGGCGTAATTTTCATTTATCTTCATCTGTATTTGGATTTTTTTACAATTAGAAAATTTAAGCACCAGCGGTTGAGATAAAAAAGCATACCACGTCACAATTTTTTTTTTTGTACAAACAAAAACCCCACAGATCTAGGAAGTCTTTTCCAGCTCCTTAACATGGTTGTAAGGCCCTCTAATCTTCCCCTGCCTGCTTTTCCAGCCTCAACTAGCACCATTCTATCTCTAGGCTTTGGCTGTGCCATGCTCTTTTTTACCTCTAGGTTTTTACTCATGCTGCTTTAAATTACTCTTAAACATCAGTACTGTGCACAGCTCCCTTCCAAACCGGTCCCATTTCAGATGGCTGCTGTGTTAGAGAGGTCTTCCCCAAACCCCCGCCTCCTATGCTGCACAGTATTCTTTACTTTCCTGATTGTAATTTTCTGTTTACTTTTGTTCTTCCCTACATATAATCTGGGAATAAAGATCATTCTGTGTCCTGATCACCATTGTATCCCCAGTGACTAATTAATTAGTATGAGCTTGGGAAATGTATGTTGAATGAATGGATGAATAAATTTCAAAATAGATTGTATTCAACTTTGAGGAAATTGCTAGACTCAGATAAATTTTGCTAGGCCAACTGATAAAAGGTAATTTAACAATGTTTTGATGGGAAGAATGCCTTCAGAGCCTGAGAACATGTCACCCACTTTAGCACTGGCAACAGAAGAGGGAAATGCCTCCGATTCCAAACCTTTAAAAATGGTCCCCATAATCTAGAGCAGTACCGATAGGGCAGGGACTAGTGGAACAGTGGAGACTAGTGGAGAGTAGATACTGGAAAGAAGGTGAAGAAGGAGTCAGGAAGTGAGATGTGAGGAAGAGGGGACAAGTTTTCTACTTTAAATTTGAATTGGCTTTCTGTCATCTCTATAGTTTTTCTTTTTCTTTCTTTTTTAAGTTCTATCAGACTATTCCACTTGTAACCCTTTCTTGTTGTAGTATGTATTGATTGATTGCTGCGTCAGGTCTTAGTTGTGGCACCCGGGATCTTGTTGCAGTGCGCGGGTGTGCTGGCTTCTCTCTCTAGTTGTGGTGCACAGGCTCCAGAGCACATGGGCTCTATAGTTGTGGCACTCGGGCTCTCTAGTTGTGGCGCATGGGCTCAGTAGTTGCGGCACGCGGGCTTAGTTCCCCGCAGCACGTGGGATTTTAGTTCCCCGACCAGGGATCGAACCAGTGTCCCCTGCATTGCAAGACGGATTCTTAACCACTGGACCACCAGGGAAGTTCCTCTATATTTTCTTATGAAACTCCACCTTCCTTTTTCTTTTTATTGTCATAAATTATGGCTTCCAATTAGGCTATTTCTCTTTCAGTGGTTAATTATAAAACAGATCTGAACCTAGACTCATAGTTTCCTCCCTTACAGGTACTGCTTAATAGACTTAATATTTTTAGAGCAATCTTAGGTTTACAGAAAATTGAGCAGATAGTACAGAGAGTTCCCATATGCCCCCTTTGTCCTTTCCTGTTATTAAGGTCTTGTATTAGTGTGGTACATTCGTTACAACTGATGAAGTGATACTGATATATTAACTAACATCTTGAAAGAATGGAATACTGACATAGAAACTTGAAGATAGCTTCTCATTATCTCTCTTTAATGGATAAGGAAAGAGTACGCAAATATTTATGAACCAGATGCCAGAATATTAAGTTAAATATATACTTATTTTGTATTTTGCCATCATTTTAAGTCTAATTGCTAAGAATGTTGAAGAACTTTCTTATAGTACTGAGAGATCCATTAAATTAGTTCCAGACACTTGTTTATTTCTATGCTTGTGGCATAGAAAACCACATTCGTTAGAAAATCTCTTATTAGAAAACTGTCTTTCACTCACAGTTGTAAACTTGTGTATACAGGAGTTTGATTTTTACCTTTAAATTTGATGAATACATGGCATATATTAGGTATCCAATCTGTATACAAATTTATTGAGTTAAATAATGGATTGAATTAATACTTAAAAATTCATTTTGACCTTACTGATCTGGCTCTCTCTCAACCAGTATAAGAGAATTATACATATTTCCTTAAAATTAGAACTATAATAAAAGATATTTTCTTATTGTGAAATATGTTTACAATTAAAATCTAGTGATCCTAACAGATTAACTTTTAAAATATGGTGCATGTTATGGGCTGCATTTTGTCCTCCCCCACGCCAAATTCATATGTTGAAGGCCTAAACTCCACTGACTTAGAATGTGACCATATTTGAGACAGAGCCTTTAAAGAGGTGATTAAATTAAAATGAGGCTGATAGGGTGGGCCCTCATCCAAACTGTCAAATGCCTTTCCAAGAAGAGGTTAGGAAACATGGGGAGACACCAGGGGTACAAGCACACAGAGGGACAGCCACGTGAGAATATGGTGAGAGTGTGGCCAACTGCAAGCCAAGTAGAGAAGCCTCAGAAGAAACCAGCCCTGCCAACACCTTAATCTTGGGCCTCCAGAAGTGTGAGAAAATAAACTTCTGTTTTTTAAGCCATACACACACAAAATACAATATGTTTATCTGAATTTGCCTCACTAGTAGAGAGCTGACTGTTCTACCTACAGTAAGTTACAATCCATCTATATGAATTTAGCATGCCAGTTAACAAAGAAAACAGAACTCTATCTAACCTACCATGCCATATATGTGTTCTTTTAAAATAAAATCCCTTATCCTATATATTAATAAAATTATTTTTACTTAAGAAATGTTTTTCAGATAACTTTTACTCTCTTTTCTATATATGAAAAAGCTATTGATCAGAATAAATTTTAAAATACTCAAAGGAATAACAGGAGGAATCACACATCTCTTTAAAAGGAAAAAGACAAGTCAAGTAGGAAGAGAATACAACATATACTTTAGCAACAATACTCATAACGTGGGTCAAATTCTCTAGGTACTAGGATAAAAAGGGAAGAAATTGTGTGGCATGGCTTCAAAACAAGATGGGCACAGATTATCAATGAATTCAGAAAGCCACCTCAAGTCAGACTGCTTCCAACTTAATCATCTGAGTTCTTTAAGGATGATGTAAAACACTCATAGGCTCTGATCTGGCATGTAACTTTGGAGAAATGCTTCAATTCATTAAAAATTTTAAACTTTCGCTTTAAGGCTTTCCTAAATGCTTTTCAGAAACTTATTTCCCAAGGCACTGTTTAGGTTGGGAGTTCCACAATTTATTACCATAGAAATGGTTGACTATTTCACCCTGCAAGTAAGCTGCAATACTTGGGATAGTATATGATTTATAAAATTCTTAATAGTTCCTATTATACAGAATACTTAAATCTTTGCTCCAGATCAATACAAATTAAATGTTTTAAAATACCATATATTTAAATTTGAAAAAGTAGCAATGAAGGAATAAATAAAAACTCTTACCACTTGGCAATACCATGACTGGCTCTGTAAATCTTTGTTCATCTGCTGAAGGTAGGTTTAGGGAGATGATTAACACCATTCCCAGACTAGTTCCAACAAACAAACAAGGGGAGATAGTACAGTCATTTTTCCGAACAAAGGACTCCATGAAGTATAGTGCTGTAATCGCTTCTTTAGAATCTTTGTCAATACTGGAGATGCTAGAACTTCTCGAGCGATTATAGGAATTTTCTCGACTTTCTATGGGAATTTAAAAACCAAAAATTTAGTTTTAGTGTGTTTCCAGAACAAGTAAAGTCAAACTTAGTAAGTGAAAACCAAAACTATGGGGGAGAAGTAGAACTTGATTCGTTGTTAACTGATCTGTAAGGCAGTTTATCCAGTTCACCAGCTTATTTTGAAGATGAAGAGACAAGTCCAGAAGTGTAAATCATAAACTTAGGAAGAGCTGGAACTAGACCTTGAGTCTCCAGAGATCCAGTCCACTGTGTTTTTCTCTCTACCTCACCTCACAAGTTAGTTGAAATTCTCTAATCTAGAAAAAAAAGATGTTTAGTCTGAATAGTTAAGGTTACAGGAACTTCTGGTGCAGTTTTAATTATGTTTCCCTCCTATCTCTCAATTGTTGGAAGTACTTCTAATGATTTCTTGACAATTCCCACTTACTGACAACATTGTGGCTACTTACCTGAAGGGTCACAAATGTTCTGTGGTAAATACATTCCTCTGAGTTTGTTATATTTGGAGTAATTAAAATTGTAAAAATTGAACTATTTATATTTACACCAAGACTAAAGAGCAAATGTTATCTCCCTGAACTAGTTACAAGCTGCCTACTTTGAATGCAAATACAGTCTTGGCTTTGCCTAGGGCCAAATACAGAGTCCTAGACAATGCCACCCCACCAATAATCTTTCTGAGAGGGCTTCAGCCCACTTAAAGGAAACAAGGTGGTTTCAGGTTCTCCTGCTCATCAACTCTTACACATGTGTAACACTCCAACAAGCAGAAACTCACCACCTCAGGTAAATATTAGGAAGGTTGTATTGTTCATATAATCACTCCAGAGTACAAGTTCCTCATATTCCTCTTTCTACTGCCTTCCCTCTCCTTTCCTTTTTGATAGGTATAAGTGTGACTCATTTTTATAAAAAGAGATAATATAATATATAAATAAAATAATATACAATAAAACCAAATATAAGTTCCCCAGACTATCCCTTTTTCTACAAACCAAAATATAATATTCCTAATTTCCCCCTTCTATCCCTCAGCAAGTTTATACAAATAATTGTTTGTAATAGAATTTAGATCTGAGAGGGAGCTTGGAAATAATCTATATATTTTACAGATTTGGAGACAGAGACATAGAGTTAAGTAATTTTCCCAGAATCAACAAGTTAGAGGCAGAAAAGTCTAAAACTCAAAATTCCCAATTCAATCCAGTGATTAAAAGTACTACTTCCTTTATAACCTTTACATTTTGCTTCCATTATAACATTCCTAGCTAATGTTTCTAGGTTGCTATTCATAGGCACCTGTGAGAGAAGATCATCTGGACCAAATTTAGTATGGCATAGTGTTAAAGGAAAAAACTAAAAATTTTCTTTTTTTACTTGGCCAAGCTGCATGGCATGTGGGATCTTAGTTCCCCAACCAGGGATCGAACCCACGCTCCCTCCAGTGGAAGTGCAGAGCCTTAACCACTGGACCACCAGGGAAGTCCCTAAAAATTTTATTTTAAAAATTTGAAGAATAATATAGATCATTACTACCAAGTTTTTTGAGGGGTGGTAATGGTGAATTACTTTATAGCATAGAATTACCATAGCATATTCCTAAGATTATTTTTTCCTATTTCTAGTCCCAAAGCTTTTTATCAGCAAGACAATAGCAGCAGTTACAGGACTCCCGTGTGTGTGTGTGTGTGTGTGTGTGTGTGTGTGTGTGTGTGTGTGTG